GATGCTTCGGCCAGTGGAATTGGCGCGGTTCTTTCCCAAGGCAATAGACCAATAACAATGATTTCTCGCGCCTTAAAACAGGCCGAACAAAACTATGCCACTAACGAAAGAGAATTGCTGGCCATTGTGTGGGCTTTAGGCAGATTGCAGAACTTTCTGTACGGTTCTAGGGAAATTAACATTTTCACGGACCACCAGCCGCTCACGTTCGCTGTGTCGGACAAGAACACGAATTCCAAGATTAAAAGATGGAAATCTTACATTGACCAGCACAATGCCAAAATGTTTTATAAACCGGGCAAAGAGAATCTGGTGGCGGATGCCCTTTCAAGGCAAAACATTAATGCTCTGCAAGATGGGCCCCGTTCGGACGCTGCAACCGTTCACAGCGAACTTTCCCTGACCTACACGGTCGAGACAACAGACAAACCTTTGAATTGCTTTAGGAACCAGATTGTCCTAGAGGAATCGCGTTTTCCGCTAAAGCGAAACTTGTTGCTGTTTCGCAGCAAAACACGCCACTTGATCAGTTACACTGACAAGAGCACAATTCTCAAAACCCTCAAAGAAGTTGTGAATTCTGGAGTCGTTAATGCAATACATTGCGATCTTCCCACGTTGGCAAGTTTCCAACACGACCTGATTTTGTATTTCCCTGCTACCCAATTCTGGCATTGCAAAAATCTTGTGCAAGATATAACGGACAAAAACGAGCAGTTAGAAATCATCACTGCCGAGCACAATCGAGCGCACAGAGCAGCTCAGGAAAACATTAAACAAGTACTTCGGGACTATTATTTTCCCAATATGGCCAGTTTGGCCAAAGAAGTGGTTGCAAACTGCAGGGTCTGCACTAAAGCCAAATACGATAGGCACCCGAAGAAACAAGAACTCGGGGAAACACCTATACCAAGTTATACTGGCGAAATATTGCATATTGACATTTTTTCGACAGACAAGAAACAGTTCTTGACCTGCGTAGACAAATTCTCAAAATTTGCAGTCGTCCAACCGATATTATCCAGAACGATAATCGATGTCACAAGCCCTCTACTGCAAATTGTTAACCTTTTCCCCGCAACCAAGACAATTTATTGCGATAACGAGGCGGCCTTCAATTCCGAGACCATCACTTCGATGCTCCGAAACGCCTACGGCATTTGCATTGTGAATGCGGCTCCGCTTCACAGCACCTCAAACGGCCAGGTGGAGCGCTTTCATAGCACCCTGACCGAAATTGCGAGATGCCTCAAGTTAGACAAGAAAATCAGCGACACTACAGAATTAATCTTAAAGGCTACGATAGAGTACAACAAAAGTTTGCACTCAGTAACCCGCGAGAAACCAATTGAGGTCGTTCATGCAGCAGCTTCTGATCGTCGCGGGAACGTCAAAAACAGGCTAATTAAGGCACAGCAAGACAATATCAAAAGGTGCAATGCATCCAGGCAAAACCGCGTTTTCGAGGTAGGAGAAAAGGTGTTCCAGAAGAACAACAAGAGGCTAGGGAACAAGTTAACTCCCTTATGCTCAGAACAAAAGGTCGAAGCAGACCTGGGAACGTTTGTCCTCATTAAGGGGAGGGTGGTCCATAAGGACAACCTGAAATAAGTTTTCCTCCACAATTAGCTAGTAAGCCAACTCAGAGTTTAAACACCGTCTTATATTGTTCGTCCATTTCAGGTTTGCACTCACTTTGCTTGTGGCACTAGCAGCGGTAAATGCTCGGATCACCGACTTCTCGCATGCCAACTACATTCCGGTCTTAGACGGGGAAGTACTGGTGTTCGATCAACGTAGCTACTTGAGGCACTCAAGTAACATTTCTGAATTTGTTAGTATGGTAGACGAGACGGAAAGACTGTCCGATTCCTTTCCACAGTCGCATATGCGCAAACTACTAGACGTAGATACAGATCATCTTAGAACATTGTTGTCCGTTCTTCAAGTGCATCACAGATTTGCACGAAGCCTCGATTTCTTAGGCACTGCCTTGACTGCCTTAACTGCGTTACAGAGACGCAGTTGGTGGAGGCTAACTCCAAACAGATACTAATAAACTCCGAAACTCAAAAACAAATAAACAGACTAACGGACACTATCAATAAAATTATCAGTTCCCGCAAAGGCGATTTGGTTGACACTCCTCATTTATTCGAGACACTGTTGGCAAGAAATAGAATACTGAACACAGAAATTCAAAATTTAGTACTCACCATAACGTTGGCAAAAGCAAACATAGTAAATCCTACAATCCTTGATCATACCGATCTAAAATCACTTATCGAACAAGATACCTCAATAGTTAGCTTAATAGAAGCTTCTAAGATCAAGGTCCTTCAGTCCGAGAATATTATCCACATATTAATAGCCTACCCTAAAGTTGAGTTTAGGTGCCAAAAGGTCTCCGTCTACCCCGTTTCACACCAACAAACCATTCTGCGACTCGACGAGGACACGTTGGCGGAATGCGAAAAGGATACCTTTGCAGTTACTGGATGCACCGTAACTACGCATAACACCTTCTGCGAACGAGCACGGCGCGAAACCTGTGCTAGCTCCCTTCACGCGGGAAACATCGCCAACTGCCACACTCAACCTAGCCACCTGAAAGCGATAATGCCTGTAGATGACGGCGTCGTGGTTATCAACGAAGCGACAGCGCGCGTCCGAACAGATGATGACGCAGAGGTAACCGTCTCAGGAACCTTCCTGATAACTTTCGAACGGTCTGCAACTATCAATGGCACAGAATTTGTAAACTTGCGCAAATCACCAAGCAAGCAGCCTGGCATCGTGAGGTCACCGCTCCTAAACATCATCGGACATGACCCGGCACTAAGCATACCACTCCTGCATCGTATGAACATCAACAACTTGCTATCAATTCGAGATTTCAAGGAGGAGGTAGTTGCGGCTGGCTCGCCTAAATTCTGGTTCGCGGTTGGTGCGGTCCTGAATGTCGGACTAATTGGCTCATTCTTCCTTTTTCTGGTGCTAAGGAAAAGACGAGCCTCCATGCAGATGCAGAAGGCGATTGACAAACACGACATGCCCGAGGACGGTCATCATCCTGAGGGGGGGTAGTTAACAACTAAGCATAATTTTGTACAATACATTGCCCTAGCGATTAAGTAGCTTCGTAATAACAATGCTGACGCGCCAGAACTGAGTTCAGCGCTCTGCGCTAAGAACGGCCAGCAGTGGTAAACTGACACTGCATGGAATGCTGATATGAACAGCGCGTAGCATAAGTCGCTACAATAAATACTTGCTCCGGCACTTGCCGTAAAACTATATCTTTTATTATTGTCTGAGCCCAAGGCCAGCAATAGAAGTCAGTAAACTTCGCAACCTAATCCACGCATAACATTTGACAACGCAGGATTCGCCTCGTGACGTTGCACAACAACGAGTTACACACATTGACATTAGATACTACGCGGGACTACCGTATTTAATATATAATTTGTACAAGCTATTGCAGTTGCTTCGTTACATAGCTTGACACTTGCGTTCGCCGAAGCTCTTACAGCTATTGTTTTTGAGCGTTGTTTGGTACTCAGCTAGTTTCGCACACACTTTCTATCGATGACCTATGATGATCTATTGATGAGTGCGGTCTTAGTGTTAGGCTGAAGCAAATCGAGGGGCATTGCAAAACTGTCCGCTATTCCTAAATTATTTGAAAAAATAATCACTTCGAATTTGCAGCATTTCTGCAAATCAGTTGTTTCCCCTGCTCAACATGGATTCGTAAAGAATCGGTCAACTACGACCAATCTGATTGAGTTTACTTCCTTGGTAAATGATGCTTTCCTTTCGAAAATGCAAACTGATGTCATTTACACGCTATGCAACTTTGGTGCTCGGCCAATCAATTGCATCTGAATTGTTCAAAGTGTATGTTTATGACATTTAATCGTACTACACCTTATCTGGTCAGTTATACAATCGACAATACCCCATTGCAACGTATACTAACAGTTAAGGATCTAGGCGTTCTTTTTGATTCTAAACTCTGTTTCAATCTTCACATAGATACCATCGTTAATGAGGCAAAAGGTGTACTTGGATTCATTAAACGATGGTCTAAAGAGTTTAACGATCCTTTTATAACGAAACTTCTGTACATCTCTCTTGTTCGCCCTATCCTTGAATACTGCTCTTGCATCTGGTCTCCGCAGTATAACAATAGCCAGGATCGTATTGAATCTGTTCAGAAGCAATTTCTGCTTTTTGCCTTACGAGGTTTAAATTGGGACCCTAATCTTCGGTTTCCATCCTATTCCAGCAGGCTTCTTCTTCTTAATCTTCCGTCGTTGACCAACCGTAGGACAATTCTCGGTGTTGTCTTTCTACATAAGTTGGTTGTTGGCGATATAGATTCGCCTTTTCTGTTAGGGCGTCTTCAATTCTCTGTTCCGGCTAGACCAACCAGAAATTACCGCCCCTTATTCCTATCGACGTGCACAACAGACTACGCTATGCACAATTCTTTTCGCGTGCTATGTAAAAATTACAATAGTTTGCATCACGTTTTCTCTACCAAACTTTCTCTACCCCTAATAAAATCATTGCCTTCAGGATACCTTCGGGAACTCACTGACGGTTCTTTTAATTTTCCCCCACCAGTTCGGCGATTCCTCATTACTATCTTTTTACCCTATCTTCTTAACACCCTATATATAAAGTATACTTGACTTTACTTTATTAACTACTCCTTTCTTTCTTTTTCCTACTTATTGCATTTTTTTAAATAACATAGTAAATTAAGATTATTTTTAATTGTATGTGAAAATGGGCACTGCTGGCCGGACTGGCAAATAAAACACCTCCATCGGTCGGTGATGCTATTAGAAAACTGTGTATTCTAACTAGGCTTTTAGCATTTAATTTTCATAAATTAAGCATAATGTACTGAATAATTAGGAAGACACTCGTTTTGTCGACGACTAAAAAAATAATATAAAAATAAAAAAATAATAGAAAGTCTTATAAACAATTTTACAGACAAAAGAGATAAAGCGAGCTTAGTTCACGAACTTCCACTTTCCGCAATAAAGGAATCGTCCGCATAATTTTGTTTATATACTTTATAATAAGGCATTTAAGGCATTTAAGAGCCATGAGACCAAGTACACTACAAGAAGCTCTACAGATGCCAAACAAAGAAAGAGATATATTTTTGCGCGAAAGTGCAGCAAGACAAAAAACAAACAAACCTAACCTATTCAGGGAAATTCCCAACAAGGTTCAATTCAAAAAACAAACAATAACATACAAAATCTTTACCCATAACAGGGACTGAATCTGAATAGACAAAACAACGAAGAAAACACGGCTTATTTCGGAATGAACAAGAAAGAAAGAAAATATTGACGATTATATCAATTTTCAAGGAACAGCCCGGAAAACCAACTGGATACGTCAACATAAACACACACAAATTCGCCATTCGGTACACCACTAACATTTCTGATAGACACAAGAGCAACCACCTCGTTAGTAGATCCGAAGTTCTTATCATCAGAATCTAATCTAATCCAACTTAAAAAACCTATAGAAATTAGATCCATCCTATACACACATAAAATAAACACAAAAGTTAAAAACATAATTTTTAAAAAATTTAAGGAAAATGTGCCGTTTTTCCCCATTTTTCGACGGACCATTAGGTCTGGACATATTAAACATACTTAGTGCAAAAATCGACTTAGAAAAGGGAATACTAGAAACACCCTTATTCCTCAGAAAAGAAACGAATAGAGTTTTCGACTTAATAAAAATACCAGCAAATAACAAGATACTAGCCCAAATACCTGTTAGCATGCCTCAATATAAGAAGAGCAATACCCCTAATGATGCAGAAGTATTAGGAAAACGATTACGGTGAAATACACAGATTAAGAATAAAAAACGATGGAAAACAAGTTGCAATAAACATATGTAGAGAACTTAGGAACAAATTTTACAACGAAGGTCAACAACTAACCTTCACAAGAAGAGTTAAGCACAACATCAGGTTAGCTGACGAAGAAGAAATTATAATAGACCACCACGCACAAATAGAAAGAACGGAAGACTAAGGCAATATATAACATAGCCACTCACCATGGAGTGCCCAAGTGTTGCTGGTACCAAAAGAGCCAGACACATCAGGAAATCCGAAATTAATATTAGTAGTTGACATTTCACAGACACAAACGGAATACAGTCTACTACAAACCTGACACCCTACGAACTATTCTCAGGGCGTACACACGTCTTCGATAAAACAACACAACCCCACAACGAACACGAATTCTAAACCAAACTACACACAGAAGTCAAAGAAAGAGCAGAAGCAGAAGACATAAACGAATAAATTGAAGCAATTAATAAAGATGGAAAGAAATCAAAACAACTTCAGGAAAATTAAATAATATCTAGAAAAGACAGAAATAAACTAACACCTATTTTTTCACAGGGAGTAAGAAGAAAACGGTATAACACTTACAACACACACAGACAATAAGCAAACATTGGCAAAAATCAATCATGGAGAAGCAAAAAGAATAATTGCATATAATAACCTAAAACAATGCGTCATTCAATTTAAATTTGATTAGAGAAAATATAATAGAAATGATCTCGCCATTGAAACGATCAAAATGAGCGCTAATAAACGGACTGCGATCAATAATAAAAGGAATAACGGTAAACATGGACGCAACCGACCAAATCAACAGTAAAATAAAAAAGAGATTCCCAAGAGAAGTTACTGACAGAAGAATAGAACGAACAAGTAATAGTAAATAAGAATATTTTCCGACCTTCAAAAAACATAACGGAATTCATGAAAATTAGAAATTATCAGATATTTAGATAACACTCAAAATAAAATGAGGAAAAGAGTTGATAACGAAAACATCGAAAGAATAAAAAATATAAACAGTTATTTAAACATAGCCTTTAATCATATTAACGAAACAGCAGAAAGCATATTACTCACGAAACTAGAAATACCCAGATTAATTTTAGGAAAAAAAGAATAAGACAACCGCAAATAATAATCGAAAATCAAAATATTAAACTAGATAAAATAGAGAAAATGTTTAAAATAGATGTATGTTAACATTTAACAGTACATAATAGTCAAATTGAGAACACCCGTAATTTATCAGGAAAACTTTAAATTCCCAAGATTAATTCCATTACCCATAAATAAAAAATAAACATACAATTTATCGTCACAATTACTTATTACTATCAGAAGTGCCTGGGTCAATTGTTAGAAGAAAGTAAGTTGGTCAGACATAATAGAGAAAGCGAAAGTATTCGGAAGCAATTGAACTTTATTCCTCTACCGAATTTATTTTAATTTTCTACCTGTGGCATCTGTGTGCGTGCACGTGTAGTATGTTTATACGCTTGGTAAGAGTGACCTTGACACCTCACATATGTTGAATATATACACGCTTGTTAGATAAGATGTTGTCCGGTTTCCCTCTTAATCAAAAATGTTGTAAACCCTGTCGTATATCGTCATGTACTGAGCATGTACTTCATTATGCGACGACGTCGGATTTCATAAGTGACGCTTTTCGGTGTCATTATTACTGTTTTACATAGTTATGACTCAGAGAAAATTAATTTTGAGCTTTTTAGAGGAGGAAGTGCAATCTACAGATACTTAATCAATCCAACTTATAAAAATCATTTGCCGAGCATGCAGATACAATAGTTTCCAATAATTACATTTAGGAGGAAGATAATGTTTGGGCGCTTAACCTCCGCCTGGAAATGAATGTGAACCAGTATAGGCAAACAAGAAGCTCATCATTCATCAATTTGACTGAAAACATCAAAAGAATAAAAGCTATAATAAATGTAATGAACAAAGAGGATGAATTTTGTTTGTATGTGCAGCTTTAACAAACATAGCAAATAAACCACCGATGTACATCCTACAATATGGATAAATGTAAATGTAAGGATAAGGGTAAATGATGACATAACACTGGATTTTAGTGTTTTAGTCGTCCCATTAAATCCACGGCACATACATACATACATCACAAACTGAAAAAAACAAAAGGGAAACG